AGAGTTGTTTAAACATTTGTTTAACAACAAGTTAAAGCTTGGAACGGTCTGTTCTTTCATCGGGATGTGTGTCTATGAGCCAGACTAGTTTCGGAGAATTCCACTCCTCGTCAGTGACCCTGGACACTACCACCAATTAAATATCAGACTAAACCAAGCCTTCATACTAGTGAGGTATCGAAAATCAAACTGGTGTATTTACGTGTTTTACACTCACCAAAAAGAAACTTATCATTCTACAGGTATTTGAAAAACTTGTAGCAATCCGCCACAATTTAATTCTTCGTATTGTTATCAGTCCACAGCTTTTCATGCCGGTTGAGATTCAACAAATACGGCAGTTGTCGGAAGTCCACTTGTATAAGCTGTTTGATACAACAACAGCCATTGTTACAAACCGACATTCCAACAACTGCTATGTTTGTTGTATTCCAGCCTGTATGAAGAGCACTGGATTGAGTGATACGCGTCGTCGGCTAAGGACATGACAAATATAGTGCGGTTAAAATACTATTATTATAAACTATTTTAATTCTTAAAAATCCCTAAAGGACTAGATAAAGAGTGCAATGTTTAAAATGTAATCGGCATAATGCTGATGTCTTATGACAAGTATAACTGTAATCAGCCTTCTCCGGTTTGTAAAAGACATATACAGCATAATGATCACACAAAAACATTTATTGTTTATTTCCGTGGACTGGCGTAACTTAATCAAACGTTTTTAGAATATTTGGCAAATTCCTTGCAATATAAATTTGTTGTTGTTGTAAAACTAACTAAAACATTAATAACAAAAAACACCTTACCTACTTATATGATTTAACATCAATACATTGGGAAAAGGTTTAACAATGAAACAAAGACTTTTAAAGATTTTTCTTAATATTTAGCAGCTTTTGTCTGTATAAACAACAAAACCTAGAACGTAACAAAGATAAACATCTCAGAATAATTTTTAATCAATCAAGCATCACTTTAGGGGTTGTTTTCCTTTTGCCAATAAAATGTTTTTGGAATTTACTCGATAAAATATGATAACCCGAGTTCTTTCAGAAGAATACACTATTTGCTCCAAGGTGATCTATTATCTTCTGTGTGCTGTATCTATAATTTGTTGTAGGTGATTTCTTAGTATCGAGAAGTAATGCCGAAGCTTGATTATCTTTAGTCTGAGTACGTGCTTTTACCTCATATGCATGCAGCTGACCCACTTAAAAAATAAAATAACATCTGATCGATGCCCTAAAGTTTACTCTTCCTGAAAGCATCTATACGCCATAAGGTATACTGCTGTAGTCTGCATGTATTCACTAATGTAGTTCCTATTGAACTAGGAAGTATTAATCCCATTTGTTGACCATAAATATAACCCTAGATAAAATTTCCAACATCTCTCTTGCCTCTATCATTAAGTAAAGGGTCATATTTGATTTGCAGCCATATGGTGTACTACCTAAATCATTAACTGACAAATGTCGGTACGTGTGTCCTCTTATAACTGGCGAACTGCATGACCGATTATTACCAAACCTAGCATGTACTCTTAAGATCCCCTGGGGTGTGACATAGGGGTCGATGCTGGGATCAGACACCCCTATGTCTACCCCTTATGTTGAACGGGTACATCAAGTGGTATTTAGTAATAACTGAACTCGTAGAGCTTTAATGAATTTCAGATTTCTCTTATTACAAACAATTTGTTTAAATTATTCTGGTATTTTCTTAATGAAAACCACTTCTTCAATTAATTATGCGTAAACGGGAACCAATTTTAGCTAACCTGTTTATAAGACTTTCGGTTGAAGACGTTCTTTTGTGTTTGTTATGGACTTCATCACGTGGCTAGATCAATAACTCGCATGTTAAGTATCTCATTAATGCAGTGTACCGTACTCTTAACTCTGATACAAACATTAGTGAAGCGTGGTCAAATGAATAGTTTCCTTGGTACCTTGTACACACTACTTGGCTTATTCGAAACTTACGAACCGTTCAGAAACTTTGTATAAACAGTTAATATTTACTGTTGATAGCCTTGAAATTCTTATTATTATGCGATGTACTCCTCTGTGGTTTGTATTAATCCCGTGCTGCGAAGTCACGTTGCAAGAACCAACAGAAAAGCACATGGATGACACGTGTGAAAATTTTGCTCTCTTTCAAGCGAGATACTAAAGATATTCCTAGTGTAATTAGAATTATTAGAAATTTTGTTTTCAATGAACTAAATAAATACTCTCGCATTTTAAACCTTGTCTAAACCCGCTGAACAAATATGCGTGGGTATAATGAAGAAAGCGGATATTTCATAGAAACATTATGTTTGGGACTTTCTGCATATTTCACAGAAATGTCTAGTTTTTCAGAATGGTTTTGGAATTCGTGATTCATTTACATCGATCACCATCTTCTGATTTTTTCCATAAAAAATATTAATTCAATCACTGTTTAAGTGTGACCCCTCTTTAACTGGTTGTGATTATTGATTAGGAGGAATGTACGATATTTGAGAAACTTAACACATTGGTGTGTTTATAACGCCATTCTTTCTTTCGTGTTACCTCGTTGCCGTGACTAGGCTTTTTCATTAGTTGT